ACTTTTATTTTGGGAGGTCTAATTTTTCTTGAGTTTTTATATATTGTAGATATTATTCCTCTGTTCGAGGACACTTTTTCCCCTTCTGTAGGTTGTCTGTTCTCTCTGTTGCTGTGAAGAAGCTTGTTAATTTGACATAATCGTATTTGTTGATTCTTTTTAAAATGTTTTTATTTTGTTAGTACATTTTGTACTTCCTGTAGTTTACAGTCAACTTGGAGAATGGTTATATGTACATATTACAGCATGTTTCTTTTTTAAAAAACCCTTTTCCCAGCGGTCCCCTCCCCTCCCATCTTCTCCAGTTTCCTTATGCCATTTTTCATTCCTATTGATATTATTTGCCTTAGCTCATTTTATAGCTTACAATGTTTACATTAATTGGGATTATTGGCTTCCAGTACATGGCATATCTTTATTATTCTTATTTCCCCTTCCCCTGCTCCTCACCCCATGCCCTTGTATCCACTTCCCTATTGCAAGAGATCCACGCCCTGTACTTCTCTAGCCATTCTTTATCATTTTCTTTGTTTCTACTTTACCTCACTCAAATGAGAGATCCCATACATTATTTAAACTAGTATGGTTTATTTCACTCAACATTATATTTTCCAGGTGCATCTGTTTTCCTGTAAATGTGTGAAATTTGTCATTCTTTACAGCTAATTAGTATTCCATTGTATGTAGATACCACATTTTCTTTATCCAGTCATCTGTTGATGGGTATACAGGCTGCTTCCAGGATTTGGCTCTTAATGAACTGTGCTGCTATAAACATTTCTTTCTATACATGTATCACTATCTTGTGATTTCTTAAGCTCTTTGGGAAAGATACCTATCAGGAAGATAACCAGGTCACATTTGTTGATTCTTGGCGTTATTTCTTGTGCATTAGAGTTCTGTTCAGAATGTCCTTGCCTATGCCTATGTCTTCAAGAATTTAACCCCTTTTATCTTCCAGCAGATTGTTCTGTTTTAAAATCCATGTGTTTGACCCATTTTTATTTTAGTGCATAGTTAGAGATACAGATCTGGAGTCAGTCTTCTGCATGTGGTTAACCAGTTTTCCCACACCATTTGTTAAAGAGGCTGTCTTTCTTCCAGTATATGTTTTTGGCACCTTTGTCCAAGATGAGATTCTCCATGTGCTCGAGGGTATTTCAGCATCCTCTGTTCTGTTCCATTGATCTATGTGTTTGTTTTTATGCCAGTACCATGCTGTTTTTAATCATTTTTAATTTGTAATATAGTTTAGCTCTGGGATTATTATGCCTCTCTTCTGGTTCCATATAAATTTTAGGATTGTTTTTTCTATTTCTGTGAAGAATGCTGTTGCTATTTTCATTTAAATTGCATTCAATCTATAAGTTACTTTTGGTAATATGGCCATTTGGACAATATTAGTTTGTCCTGTTTGGGAACGGAGGATGTGTTTCCATTTTCTAGTGTCTGTGATCTCCTTTCTCAGAGTATTACAGCCTTTGTTAAGTTAATACCAGTTATTTAATTTTTTTGAAGCTATTCGAATGGTATTGTTTTACTAATGACTTTCTTAGTGTGTTCATTATTTATGTACAGGAATGCTACTGATTGTGTGTGTTGCTTTATGTATCTTTCTTCTTTGTGAAACTTGTTTATTTCATGAGTCGTTTGGTGAAAATTTTTAAGACTTCTATGTACAGGATCATGTCATCTGCAAAGAAGGATAGTTTGACTTCTTCCTTTGCTGTGTATATCCTTTTAATTTCTTCTCTTTCCTTTCTGCTCTGGCTAATGTTTCAAGTACTGTATTGAACAGCAGCGGTAAGAGTGAAAACTTTCTTCTGTTCCTGATTTTTGGAGAAAAGCTTCTAGTTTTTCCCCGTTTAGTCTGACGTTGACAGTGGATTTGTCATAAATGGCTTTTATTGAGTTGCTTTAAGTCTTTCTATGTATATTTTATTTTGTTCAGGGTATTTATTGTAAATAGATGTTGGATTTTGTCAGAGACTTTTTCTGTATCTGTTGAGATGACCTTGTGGTTTTTATCCTTGCTTATGTTTATGTTGTATGTAAACTTTATATATTTAACCATCTTTGCATCCTGGGCATGAAGCCAATTTGGTCATGATGTATGATCTTTTTAATGATTTGCTGCATTCTGTTTGCCAGTTTCTTGGGGAGGATTTTTGCATCTATATTCATTGAAGAGATTGGTGTGTAGTTTTCTTTTTTGTGAAGTTCTTGTCAGGTTTTGATAACAGGTTATTACTAGCATCAAAGTATGAGTTAGACAGTACTCCTTCCCTTTCAGTTTCATTGAAAAGTTTGAAGTGTGTCAACATTGAATCCTCCGTAACGTTCTTGAAGAATTCAGCAGTGAATCCATCAGGTCCTGGGTTTTTCTTAGTTGATAGTTTTGGGGGATTTGTTTTGTTTTGTTTTGTTTCCTGCGTGAATTTCATAGCTTGTTACTGGAGTACCTTCTTGGTTCAGTTTTGGTAATTCATATGTGTGTACACACCTGTCTATTTTTCCTACAGTCTACCAATTTATTAAGTACAAGTTTTCAAAGTAGTTACTTATAATCTTCTAGATTTCACCAATGTTTGTTGTGATCTTGCATGATCAGCAAAGGTTTAAGTATGAGATAGGCATGTTACAAGTAGAGTTTTTGGATTTGGAGAAAGGAAAGTTTAAGTAAGCTGTGTGTTGCTCAGACCTGTTACCTCAGCACTGTAGGAGGACCAGGCAGGAAGATGGCAATTATGAGCCCAACCTGGACAACTTAGCAGCTTAGCAAAACCCTGTCTCAGTATAAACAATTTATAAAAGGGTTACAGCTCACTGTGATGATCCTGGGTTCAATCCCCAATACTTCCCCCCAAAAAGAGGTAATCACTAGGTATGGTGGGCCACACTTGTAATCTCAGCTATTTAGAGGCTGAGGCAGAAGAATTATAAGTGCAACCCCATCCTGGGTACCTTGGTGAAACCCTGTCTTAAAAATAAAAAGGCCTGAGAAATAGCTCAGTAGCAGAGCACTTGCACAGTGTGCAAGTGTAGATCACATACTGCTAGTCCATTTTTCTATTTACCAGTTATTTTTTTTCTTTTTATTGAGTTTATTGGTACATTCTAGGTATACAGTACAGTTACATTCATTACTGGGATCTTGTACCTTTACATGACAGGTCTTGGTTCTCGTTTTTTCCCCTTGTTCCTGCCCTCCCTTCACCCCTTCCTCCCCTCCCCATTTACAAACACTTTATTTCCATTTTTTCATTAAAAAAAATTTACCAGTTACATTCTAATTTTCTACTAATGAAAAGCTTATGTATAAATTGGGGTTATCTAAATATAAAAATGCGTCTAGAAATAGATAATTTCTGCTATCTAAGTAATATGAATTCAGGAATTGTTATGTTTATTCAGTCCTTCATCAGTCTTTCTATGAGTCTCCCAAGTTGCATGTAACCTTGGAAACTAATTTAGCCTTGTGATCTGAATCAAGGTAAGCATAAAGGAAGTTGCTTAAAAAAATGATAAGCTCTAGGGTTTTATTATTCTACTGGCTTAAGAATAAATTGCATTTATTATGTTTAAACTATAAAAGAGGACTGAGATGGAAAAGAAACAATAGGTGAGAAAAGATATAAAATATATATCTTTACAATATAAGTTCATCTGTTATACTTTCATGTATACAAGTTTAACTTTTATACTCAGGTCATTGGAATGTATAATTCCAAGATGACCACTTCAGGTGATTTTGACAAACCTATGATATATCCTTCTACATACTTTTTATTACTATTCTTAAATTTTGTTTCTGTTAAATCAGCCCTTCACATTAAGTTGTTTTATAAAGTTTGGTAAGTTTGGACATACATAATTTTATCATGAGTAACATAAATCCTCAGTCAGAAATTTGGTGTTGGACTCCTATGAAGCAAACTAAGTTCTGAAGTTCGCTTATTTCATTGACAAACAAAAATCTAGAGATATTCTTTAAAAGTAGATGTGGCTTCTCATACAGTCATTCCATCATTTTGCCAAAAATCACACTTGTAATTTACTGGATTGATTTGATGAATTCATCTGGCAATTTGTCAGGTCCACCCATATGGAAATATATCACCTCTTTTGGTGCCATAAAATGCAGGGCAATGCCACAGAGAAGCTTTGCAGGGATCATTTAAGCTGAATTACTCCTGTACTTCTTGTGTTGTGTCCAAATTTGGTTTAAGTATATATTTCAGTGAGTACCTGCACTGTCTTGAAATCCCAGTTCTGTATCCAATTGGAAATGCAGAAAATGTAAGTGTCCTTTTGTTACTGAAAGCCCCACAATAGCACATTCTCTAAGACAGAAGAAAACACACTTTGTCTTTTCCTTTTTGCTTCTACCAATCTTACAGGGAATGGAAGTGTTGGATAGCAAAGTGAATGAAAATAAAAGCATAAAATTAGTCCTTTTTGAAATCTGGAATTTTTTTTCCCACTCAAACAGAAATGGAGCAGAATTTACAAAAAAATAAATCAATGGCCTGTAATAATAAAGTAGACACAATTGTCTTTTAATCCATCAAGTATGGTGGCACATAGCTGTACTCCTAGTGCTTTGGGAAGCTAAGGCAAAAGAGTCATAAGTTTGAGCCCAGCTTCAGCAACTTGAGCCTAGTAACATCCTGTCTGAAAGTAAAAAAATAAGGGGTTGAAGGGATTTAGCTCAGTGGTTCCACTGCCTGCCTTTCAAACACAAGGTCCCAAGTTTGACCTCTGGTATCAAGTAAACAAACAAACAAACAAATAAATGGTTGAGGATGTAGTTCAATGTGAAGTGCTTGGGTTCTGTCACCAGTACTGCAGAAAAAGAAAAAAAATATTTCTATGGACTGAAATAATGACAACTGAACTAAGTCAAGTGATAAAAATAAATGAACAAAAAACAATGAATAAAAATTCAGTAAAAATCAAGTAAAAAGTATGTTATCCTTTATATCAAACTTTCTTGAAAGGTTGAAGGAAACAGGAAGCAAATACATAATGACATGGAAGTATCAGAAAATGAGTTCAGTGGCATTGTTACCACTACTAATGGTGATGATGGGTTCATTCAACAAAGAAAGAATGGAAAAAATGATAACCAGCAATTTCCTATTAAGGAGAATGAAGAACATGATAGGTAAGACTATGGAAATACTTTATTGTAGATAGTTCTTACTGTTCTATGAAACTAATTCTAATTTGAGCCAGTATTTGTGATTAAGAAATTACATGCTTTTACCAGAGAGATTCAGCTTTGTATGGCTGTCAGAAAGTGAGAAAAATATGTTAGATACCATTTTTTCCAATTATATTGATAAAAATTTGATTTAAAAACTAAAAGATTTGGCCAGTGTGATGATACAGACATGTCACACACTGTTAGTAAATAAAATTATTAAGTACTTTTTGAAGGGTAATTTAGTAGCATTAATAAAATTTCAGGACCAGGGATTTAGCACCATGCCTGCCTCCCAAGCTCAAGGTCTTGAGTTTAATCCCCAGTACCACAGAAAAAAAATCCAACTATGTCATTATCTTAATCTAACACCCTCTTTTCTGGGGTAAAATCCTTATGGAAGAGGAAAACATAACTTGTAAGCATACACATGCACATAGGTATTAAAGATCTTTACCACAAATCACCTATAAACTAAAATAGGTGAGTGTATATACTTAACATATATATATAACATGAACATTAAGGGTGTGTAACATGTAGATAATACTTATATAAATATGTTACATATGTACATTTGTACATTAAAAGGTATTTTTAGCATTTTCATAAAGTTGGAGATAGTCTAAATACTTAACAGTAAGGAAATAGTTCAATCGTTTTATCTATAAAATAATGTAACATTCATTCTGATTATTTCACAAAGTGTATTTAAAGCATCTAGTTTAACAATATATCTTCAGCAAATTTTGTTGTAATATTTATAATATGTGCTGAGTTGCAAAAGGAAGGCGTGTGTTGCACTGATACTCTTATCTCATGACCAAACAAATTAGTAGCTACTAGACATGTTTTTTGTTCTCAGGACATAATTGCTCTAATCTGGACCATCACATTCATCTGACTATTGTTAAGGGATTGCATGAGAATCTGTGATACATTAGTTTTCAGTATACTGGGTAAAACCACTTAAAAGTGCCATCAAAGGTTCTTGCATATAATAAACCAGGAATTGATTTGTGTGTGTGTGTGTGTGTGTGTGTGTGTGTGTGTGTGTGTGTGTTCAAAGATCCAAATAGTAACTATTTTAGGCTTTGTGGCATGAAACCTGTCTTGTGGTAATCCAGAGTCTGGAGTAGGCGATAAATGAATGAGTGTGGCTACATATCAATACTGTTTATTTACAGGACTGAGGGATAGTTTAGTGGTAGAGCACTTGTCTAGGGTGCAAGAGGCCATGGGTTCCATCCCCAGCACCACATACACACACACACACACGCACACACACACACAAATTTGTTTACAAAAACAGGTAGTAGGATAGATTTTCTCCATAGGTACTTATTTGTTGACCCTTATGCTAAACCCAAGTTTGCTGCTAATGTACCAAGTCTTTCTTTTAAAGGCTCCTTTTGTGCATGTCAGTATCCTTTTTAAAGATGCTGCATTGCATTATATTTTTCAGCAGTGACTCCATATATGTTACAAAAATTCAGTTTCTAAAATAGTTTCCTTCTTCTAACACACTGTATATTTTCTGTCTTATTTTTTGCTATTAATTATATACTTCACTCTCAAGTAGAATTTGTGTTTTCTTTTTCTCATTGAGTTTATTGGTACTTTTAAAGTATACAGTATAGTTATATTTATCATTGGGATCTCATACCTTTACATGACAGATCTTGGTTCTGTTTTTTTCCCCATAACCCTGCCCTCGCTTCACCCCCTCCAACCTATTGAAAAAGACTTTGTTTCCATTTTTTCATTTTCTTATATTTTGTCTTTTTCCTAATATCTTTTCTCCTACCCTTCCCACTTTCCCTACACATTTAGCCCTTTTCTTTCTATTTCACATTGTCCATTATACAATTTGGATCTTATTTACATTTTAGTTTTTCTCCCCAGAGAAACTATTCCGTATGTACACATGTGTCTTATTTATTTCACTTAAGAGCATGGTCTTAATATGCATCCATTTTCCTATGATTGACTGTAGTTTCTCATTCTTTGTGGCTGAGTAGTACTCCATTTTATAGAAATACCACATCTTCTCTACCCAGTCTCCACCTGATGGGCAATTGGGCTGTTTCCAATTTTAGCTATTGCAAACTGTGCTGCTATAAACATGGATGTGCATATAGCACTATGGGATGATTCCTTTAGTTGTTTGGAAAGATATCCAGCAGAGGGATAACTGGGTCAAATAGAACCTCTAGTCCTCGTTCTTTGAGGTATGTCCATATTAATTTCCACAATGGTTGTACCAGTCTACACTCCCACGAACAATGGAGAAGGGTTTCTTTCTCCCCACAATCCCACCAACATTTATTATTGGTTGATTTCTTGATAGCCATTCTTTCTAAGGTGGGGTAGAATCTCAGGGTTGTTTTCATCTGCATCTCTCGAATGACCAGTGATGTGGAACATTTTTTCAAACATTTTTATTTGCTGCTTTTACTTCTTTGTCTGAGAAATGTCTTTTCATTTCAGATGCCCACTTTTGAATTGGGACTTTATATTTGGGGATCTGACTTTTTTGAGTTCTTTATATATTCTACATAATAGTCCTTTGTCTGAGGAGCAACTGTTAAAATTTTTTTCCCGCATTGTAGGTTGTCTCTTATCTCTGTTGGTGCTTTCCTTTGCAGTGCAGAAGCTTTTTAATAAGATGATATCCCGGTTGTTGATTCTTTGCTAGTTCCTTGCTACTGAGGATTTGTTCATAAAGTCTTTTCTTATGCCAGTGTCTTTGAGAGTTCTGCCTAACTTATCTTCCAGCAAGTTTAGTGCTTCTGCTTTAATATTTATATCTTTAATCCACTTGGATTTTTGTTTAGTGCATGATGAAAGATAAGGGTCTAGTTTTAATTTTTGGCAGGTTGAAATCCACTTTTTCCAACACCATTTTTTAAAGAGGCTATCTTTCCTCCAGTGAGGATGGTTGGCTCTTGTGTCAAAGATGAGGTAGCTGAGTACATCTGGAGTTGTTTTTGTATCTTCCAATGTATTCCACTGATCCTTAGGTCTTTTTCTTTGCCACTACCATGCTGTTTCCAAGTTTTTATCATAGTTTCAAGTTGGGGATTGTGATACCCCCTGCCACATCTCTGTTGCCTAGAATGGCTTTTGCTAGTCTAGGTCTCTTCTGGTTCCAAATTAATTTTTGTATCATTTTCTCTAGTTGTGTGAAATATACTGTTGGAATTTCAATCAGCATTGCAATGACTCTGTATAGCAGTTTTGATAGTGTGGCCATTTTCACTATGTTGATTATTCGTACCCAGGATCAGGGGATGTCTTTCAATTTTCTGCTTGCTTGCTTGCTTTTCTTTTTCTTTCTTTCTCTCTCTCTCTCTCTCTCTGTCTCTTTCTATCTTTCTTTCTTTCTTTCTTTCTTTCTTTCTTTCTTTCTTTCTTTCTCTCTCTCTCTCTCTCTGTCTCTTTCTTTCTTTCTTTCTTTCTTTCTTTCTTTCTTTCTTTCTCTCTTTCTTTCTTTCTTTCTTTCTTTCTTTCTTTCTTTCTTTCTTTCTTTCTTTCTTTCTTTCTTTCTTTCTTTCTTTCTTTCTTTCTTTCTTTCTTTCTTTCTTTCTTTCTTTCTTTCTTTTCTTTCTTTTCTTTCTTTTCTTTCTTTTCTTTCTTTCTTATGTTGCCCAGGATTGAACTTGGATCCTTGAATTTGTGAGGCAGTTACCACAACCACTGAGCCAAATCCCTGGCCCTCTTTCAATTTTCTTATATCATATTTGATCTCTTTTTTCAGAGTGTTTTAGTATTCAGTGTAGAGGTCTTTTGCTTCTTTCCTTAGATTGATTCCTAGATACTTCATTTTTTTGGATGCTATTGTGAAAGAAGTTTTTTCCCTAATTTCTCTCTCAGTGAGTCTTTTATTTGTATACAGGAAGGCTGTTGATTTTTGAGTGTTGACCTTGTATCTAATTACTCTGCTGTCAATTAAGTCTAGAAATCTTTTGTTAGAGTTTTTTGGGTCTTCTATGTAGAGTATCATAACTTCAGCAAATAATGACAGTTTAACTTCTTCCTTTCCTATCTTTATTGCTTTAATTTCTTTCTCTTGTCTGATTACTGTGGCTAATGTTTCCAGAAATAATATTGAACAGGAGTGGTGATAGTGGGCATCCTTGTCTTCTTCCTGATTTTAATTTGATGGTTTTCAGTTTGGGGCTATTTAAAAAGATGTTGGCTGTTGGTTTTTCATAGATAGCCTTTATCAAGTTGAGTAAAGATCATCTATTCCAGTTTTCTGCAGGGTTTTTATTATGAATGTGTGTTGAATTTTGTCGAATGCTTTTTCTGCATCTATTAAGATGATCGAGGTATTTCTTAGGAGCTTGAAAAGAACCAAGAGTTAAGAGATGCACTCTACAGACCACTGAACCAGAACATAGCACCAAAGGCCTCTTAGGCATGGAAGTGACTATGTTTGTGCTACATTTTGGTTTTGTTTTTAAATATAACAATATTGAATTTAAATAGAGTTTAAAAACACTCATGAGAGTATTGGAGAAGAAATTGGGGAAATATCTTGAGGACAAAACCTTACTTCAAAATACCCCCATCATTATACACAGTCTATAAAAGTAACATTTTGAACAGTTACGATTTTGTTTGAAATAAGACTTTATAATTTCTCTATGCTAGCCTACTACTTAATCCTAATATAAAAGGCTGGATTTGCCAACAGATCACTGTAATTTCAGAATAACAGAATAGTTATGCAATAAACACTATCACACATCTACACAAATTTACAAAGCAACTGAAATTTACCATGGGAAAGTATAGTGTTGGATGAGCCATGATAATAAATCTATACCTGAGCATATAATAGTCAAGATCCCAGAAACCCAACAGAAGAACAAAATACTACAAGCAGAGAAAAGAAACAAATCCCAAGGAAAGGAAAGCCCATCAGAATAATGGCAGTTATTGAACACAAACACTCAGGTCAAGGAGAGCCTGGAGTGAGGTATTTCAAGCCCTAAGAGAAAACAGCTTCCAACCTAGGCTGATCCTGCAAAACTGCCTTTCAAAATGGATGGGGAAATAAGATACTTCCATGACAAAGAACACCTGAGAAAATTCATAAATACCACACCAGCACTACAAACAATTCTAAATAATATCTTAGAAAAAGACAATGGGGGTCACAATACCATGAGGCCCAACAGAGCAAATCAATTAGGCAAGGCAAGAAACTAAGGGAGGGAGAGGTAAAAATTAAAAAGAGCCAACAACGGGACAATGACATAACAATGAAAAGTCAATACATATCAGTTATAACCATCAATGTTAACAGCCTCAATCCACCAATCAAAAGAAATAGAAATACCTTAATGCCATATATCTGATTTTTGTCTTACATTCTATTCTCTAAATGAATGGTTTTCCACTACTTTTTTGCCTAGTGATCTCTCGTATTTTCCATCTTCTGTAAAGTCTTCCTTGTGCTCAGATACAGTTAGTTTTTCATTTATCAACTCATATCACGTTGTACTGTTTGGTATTCACTTGTTTTTTGAAGCAAGGAATAAATATCTTCTTGTATTTAGCTAGTACTTTACAACTGATTTGTAATTCATAAGTGAATTAGTATTGGGAAGTGTTGACATTTTTTCCAATATTGCTTTTTAAAAAATTATTTCAGTAGACTAATTAGAAAACTTTTTTTCAAATGTCTTTTTTAAGTAGTGGTCCTGCCTTGCCTGTGAGGGAAATAAAGAAAAATGAAAATGAACAGTGGAGCTCCACAGAATCTATGATATCCCCAGTGTTTGAGGAGGCCAATTCCCTTCCTGGTGGCCTACTACAAGTGAAGGGTAGTTACAGCTTACATGATTCAAATGAAAATGAAGAAAGGTAAATTACCTGTAAATTTTTTATTTTCCTTGAAAGGAATGTTAGCAGGAATTACTTTTTCTGGAAATAAAACAACAGTGTTGTCAACAGGGAAAGCAAGAGAATATTCAGCCACATCATTGCTGCTGAAAGGTTGGTTAAGGTAGGACAAGTAAATTTGACAAGGAGCAGTTTCAACAATGCTCACACTGGAAGCTGACTACTGTGGACAAATGTGGACAGTGCCTCAGAAACATTTATTGGAATGGCTGGGGAAATAGGTGTTACTGAAGAAGAATGTGAAGTTTAAGAGTTTTTTGTTTTAAGAAGATTTTGCATACTGGAATTTTTAGAAATATTTGCAAGATCCAGAAACAGATGATAATACAAGTCAACACATTCACAACAGGCCATACATGCATGACTGACCAATCTGCCCAGTGAGACAATCATGCATGTACCACCAGTGCTTCAAGCTGGTGGGAAATGTTCATGTGATGTCACTTAAAAATACTAAACACATGAATATAAATATTTCACAACATACAGTATACCCCTGCGAAGTCTCAGTTCAGAGTTCACGGCCTCAGTCATTGAGGAACTTTTACTTAGAGACGAACTAATAGTTGATCGAAGAAACACCCACCAATTTCACGGAATATCCTCGGCAACTTTTTTTTTGGAGAGAGGTTTGCAAGGAGCCAATCCAAGAGCATTAATAAGTTCTCCTTACTGCTAATTAGCTGCTGTCCTGTAACCCATTTCTGGCAGATACACCAGCATTCTGGCATCATAACAGCGTTCTCTATTTTGTTCTTAAAGCCCTAAGATCCCTAAGATGCCACCGAAATACCTTGCACTTTCTAAGCCTTCATTATTTCATTAAATTACATAACTGTGGGAGACATAGCATATTTAGGGTTTAAGTTATAAAGACAGGAATTTATAGGCATTTTTCTGACCATATTTGAAATTCACAGTTTTTCACAATTCCTGTTGCTCTAAGAATGCATCCCAATGAATTTTGGGGGTTTACTGTACTGTGAAACACATTCCTGGATTTAAATTCTTTTTTTTTTTTTTTTTGGTATTTTGAGACAGGGTCTCACTATGTAGTTGAGTCTGATCTGGAACTCACTATGTAGCCCAGGCTGGTCTCTGAACTCCCAGTGATCCTCCTGCCTCAGCCTCCCAAGCGCTGGGATTACAGGCATGCACCACCACGTCCAGCTCTGGATTTAAATTCTTAGCACCTCTATGAACTTGGGCAAGTTACTTGGCCTATCTTCACCTAGTTTATTCCTCTATAAAATAATATGTTACCTACCTCACAGAATTGTTTTTAACACATGTATAGTGCTTAGAACAATGCCTAGAAGTTACATAGTAGGGTCTGAAAAGTTAGCTCTTATCATCATTTAAAAAGGGTTTCCTTCCTATAATGACTTAAGTAATATTTTCTAAGTGGTTTTAAGTGCCTGTAAAAGTTTGGTTTTGGTTTTATTAAAAATGATAGTAACAAAATGGTATATTTTTTTCTATCAAATAGTGTAACATTTTTCTTTTGCTTTGACTGTAAGAAAGTTAATCTAAATGTAATTATTTGTTATTAGTAGTAGTTAGTAGTAGTCTTTGTTGCGAAAGTGTTACCTTTGTTTATAGTTGAATACCCCTTCTAGAAAATCATCATATTTTAAATAGCCTGTAAATGCCATCAACAAGAGAAATAAATTACAAATGCTGAAATTTTATATAAAAAACAGTAGTTTTAGGTATTCTTTGTGTTTTACACATTCAGTATTTGCCTGAAAGTATTGTGCAGGTTGTTTTATTTTTGTTTTTGTTTTTTATTTTTCTTTTAGGTCCATAAAGAAAACATCTAATGAAAACAGCAAGGTATTGTAAAAAATAATCAAAAGTAGTATTGAAAATATAACATGAACAGCAAAGTGATATATTGTAATAATACAAATATATAGTTTTAAAGATACATTATAAAAAGTAAAGTGAAAAAATAGAGAATCTTTTGTTACGTGAAGACATTTACATTGAAAAAGTGATTAAGAAATAGTAGCCAGTCATTTTGTTTCTGCTTGTATAAGAAGAGAATATTGACTACTTCTGTATATTTAATACATGATACAAATATTTGGGGGACATTTTGAAATAACATTATTTATTTTATAGGTCAAAGAGCAAATAGATGGTGTGAATGACTTTGATGACTTATCTCAGTCATCTGAAACAGCCTCAGAGGATTGTGAATTACTTTACCCTAAGTATGAGAATATTTTGCTGCTATTTGAACAACTTAGAATGGAATGTAAAGGTAGGACCACTGTAAAAATGCAGAGAATTCTGGATATTATAGTAGTGAATACACCCATTGCTCAGCACTGTGCCATCGAGCACAGATATATTATGGTAGCAAACGTATTATTTGTATTATTGTACATTTGCCAGATAATATTGTGCCAAATCATGCTTTCTATTAGGATGCAATGAGAGGTATTGTACACTCCAGCCACAGAGCAACAACCATTTCTAATGCATTTTTCTCTCAGTGTGAGTGACACTTCCAGACTTTTTGATGACTTTGCTTCTCTTCTGTGCCTTCATTATTATCAGGTTAGGAAACCATAATCTCTACCTGCAATACTTTAATTAGATCTGTTTTCTTTGATAACCTAACTCCTGAAACCAAGGTCTGCTCTGTAACCATAATTATGTCTTTTTAAAGATTTAGACCCAATCCTGTTAAACCCTTGCTGAAAACCTGTTACTTCTTGCTGCTATAAGATTAAAGCTCTCACTCCATCTTCATCCCACACACTATGGCCCAGTTGCTGGCTTAGATGTTTGTTCTTGCAAACTCTCTGTTTTCAGTAGCTTGAAATATCATGAACTGTGCATATGTAAAGGCTACGATAATGATAATGATAAGTTTTGACATGTATTAAGCACATTTAATCACCACAGTCAAGATAGCTAACAAGTCTGTCACCCACCAAAGTCTCCTAATGCTCCTTTGTATTCTCTTATTGAAAAACTGCCAAATTGTTTTTGCAGAGTGTTTGTACCACCTTCCATAGCCATTAGTGATATATGAGAGTGCCAATTCCTCTATATCTTCTTCAACACATAGTGTTGCCTCTCAGTATGTGTGTAGTCATTCTAATAGTTGTGTATATTAGTATGATTTTAATGGGCATCACCCTTTTGACTAGTATTGACTAGTATAGAAATATATATCTACCTGTTTATTTTTTGTATATCACCTTTGGCAAATTGTCTTTTCAAAAAAAATTAGATTTTTATTTGTTGGATTTTAAGAATTTGTTCTATGTGGTAGATACTGTTCCTTCATTGGCTATATGTTTTGCAAGGATTTTTCCCCCCATTTTGTGGTTTGACTTTTATTCTCAATAGTATTTTTTGGAAAGCAGAAGTTTTGAGTTTTGAATGTCTGATTTATGTACTTGTTCAATTGTACATTGGGGCTTTTATGTCATATCTAAGGAATCTTTGTCTAGCACAAGGTCACAGATTTTTCTTGTCTGTTTTCTTTTAGAAATTTCATAGTTTTAGATCTTACATTTAGATACATTCATCTTGGGTTCACTTTTTTTTTTAATTGAGTTTATTGGTACAATCTAGGTATACAATACAGTTACATTCATTACTGGGATCCTGTACCTTTACATGACGGGTCTTGATTCTCATTTTATCCCCTTGTCCCTGCCCTCCCTTCACCCCCTCCTCCCCTCCGCATTTACAAACACTTTGTATCCATTTTTTCATTTTCTCATATTTTTTTCCTCTCCCTTATTACCTTTTCCCCACCCTTCCCACTTTCCCTACAGCTTTAGCCCTTTGCTTCCTATTTCACATTATTAATTATCTCATTAGGATCTTATGTACTATTATAGTTTTTCACACCAGAGAAACTATTCAGTATTTCAGTTAAAGAAATCTCTGTATAAACATTAAAAATAAGGAATCCTAAAATAAAACTAAAAACGAAAGTAAAAGAGAAAAGGAAATGATGTAAAATTAAAATAATCCTTAATTATGAAGATGAAAATGATCCCTGAACATATTTAAATTGCTTCTTGCTCTTGTAGTCTTATATTACTCTTTTTTTTCCATTATTTAGAGAATACTTTATTAATTTCTGTAATCAAACCCACGTAGATATGACCTTAAATATTTAATACAGTGCATTACCCCTGTACAAATGAAAAAAAAATTAATATTTTTAGAACAATATGGCTGTTAATTTCTGTAGAATGCCAACTCAACACAGTAACTTGAGATAACTTTTTCCAAGGTCAACAGCACAGGTAAAATTTCCAAAAATTCAAATTATATATAAGCAGCACCAGCTTTTCCAGGTTCTTCAGTCATCTGAACAAAATTATAGATATTCAGCACACTCCATCAAAAAAACAAAGAAAAGAATAATACCCAGAAAACAGCAAAGTTCTGTTATTGTTGTGGTACCTGGCACCATTTTTTTATTAGCATCTTAATCATCATCTGTAAAGAGAATATTATCATTTAATTATAGAAACTGTCTGATTTTTTATTTTCCTCTGTGACCCATTGGTTATTCAAAGTATTTCAATTTCCATTTGTTTATGAAATTCTTGAAATTTCTTTTGCTATTGATCTCCAATTTCATTGCACTATGACCTAATAATATACAGGGAATAACTTCAGTTCCTTTGCACTTACTTAAACATGTTCTATGAGTGAGTATGTAGGCTATTTTGGAGAATGAACTGTCTGCAGCTGAAAAGAATATGTATTCTGATTTTGTAGGGTTGAACACTGTAAGCATTTGTTAAGTTCATTTGTTCTAGAGTTTGATTCTAGTATTTTGTTGTTTATTTTCTGTCTAGTTGATCTATTTGTGACAGTGGGGAATTGAGGTCCCCCACTACTATTGTAATGGTGCTCATTTGATTTTTCATGTCTATTAGTATTTGTTTTATATAGTTGGTTGCACTAGTATTTGTTGCATATGTATTTATGATTGTCATATCTTCCTCCTGGATTTTTTCCTTTACAAGGATGTAGTGTCCTTCTTTCTTCCTCTTAATCAGTATTGCTTTGAATTCCATTTGTTCTGCAAAGAGGATAGCTACTCCTGCTTTTTTTTGTTTCCTGTCACATGGAGTATTGTTTACCACCATTTAGCTATCAGTCTGTGAGTTTCTCTTTGAATTAAATTTGTTTCTTGAATGCAGCATATTGTTGGATCTTGCTTCTTGACCCATTTTGCCAATCTCTTTCTTGTGATTGGTGAATTAACCATTAACATTGATAGTTTTAACTGATATGTATTGACTTATCCTTGTTGTGTTTTTGGTTTTTTTCTGTTGGCTTCTCCCTCTTTGCATTTAATTTCTTGTCATGCCTGATGGATTTATTCTGCTGAGTTTCCTGAGGTTGTCATCCTTGTTTTTTCCTAGGATATTGTTTAAAATTATTTGAAGTGCTGGTATGGTATTCATAAAGTTGCTCTGGTGCTCTTTTTATGAAAGTATCTTACTTCTCTGTCAGTTTTGAAAACAGTTCTTCAGGGTACATCAATCTGGGTTGAAGGTTGTTTTCCTTTAGGGCTTGAAATAATGTTACTCCAGGTTCTTCTTGCCTTGAGAGTTTGTGTTGAGAAGTCTGCTCTGATTCTGATGGGCTTTCCTTTGTATGTGATTTGTTTCTTTTCTCTAACTGCTTATAGAATTTTGTTCTGATGTTGGAATGGGCTTTCTTGTGTGTGATTTGTTTCTTTTCTCTAACTGCTTATAGAATTTTGTTCTGATGTTGGTTTTCTGGAATCATAACCATTATATGCCTAGGTGTAGATTTTTTTTTTTTATCACAGCCATTTGGAGTCCTGTATACCTCATTTTTCTGTATGTCCAGTTCTTTTCCCCTCCTTGGGAAGTTTTCTGCCCTTCTATGAACAGTTTTTTTTAAGTGTCGTTTGCACTCTCTCCTCTTTCTTCATTGACTCCAATTAGTGTTATGTTATTCTTCTTTGAGTCATCTAGCAGCTTTTGGATTGATTTCTCATTGTCCCTTACTATTTCTAAGAATGTTTTATGTTCCTAGTCACTAATTGCAATCCTGTCTTCTATATCTGAAATTCTCCTCACATTGGCTCAGTCTGCTGTGTAAACTTTGAATGGAGTTGTTTTGTTTTGTTTTGTTTTTTTGTATTGGGGATGGAATTCAGGACCTTGTGCTTTTGAGGCAGTTGGCAACACCACTGAGCTAAATCCCCAGTCCTCAAGTAGTTTTTAATCTCCTGAAAATCTGTTTGCATCTGTTTTATGGATTCCATTTGTTTTCTATGGGATTCCATCGTGTTCCATCGTATTTCTCAGCTCCTCTATTTTTTTATCTTTGTCTGCTCTAGATTTATTAATCACGTCTTGCACTATGGACACAATTTCTGTTATCTGATAAATTATTTCTGGTTTCATTTTTTCAGATGCTCTTTATTTGCCAGTATCAGACTGTTCCATCTTGTTGCCCTTTGGCATTACCTTAGGTAATCTGGGAATCTGGTTTTGAGACTTGTTTATGTGCCTTCTCATTTCAGCAGATGCAGCCTGCTGTGCTTTGTTAAGGTGACTCTTTGCTCACCCAGTGGTCTTCAGTTCTCAGCAACTCACCAGAGGGCCTTTTTTCTACTTCTCACCTCTGCACCAATTCCTGGGTTCAGAATGTTGGCCTTCTGGATCCTTCTGCTGCCCTGTTGTTTGGGTGGTGTTCTGGCTGGGGCCTATAAACATTTAGGATAGTATCTGGGCATAGTATCTGGGCATGCCTCTGGCTGGGGCCTGCCCTCACTAACATAGCTTTTGTTTGGGAGGGTCTCTTGCTGGGGGCTGTGCACCCCAGTCACTGGTGTCTGAGCAGGTTTCTGGCTGGGGTCTGCACACACTTGCCAATGGTATCTGGGCAGTCCTCTGCCTGTTGCTTGTGTGCCTGTGAAGCTCTTTTCCGTTCAGGCCTTTGGCTGGGCCTGTGGGTATAAGCTGCTGGGGTTGGAGCTGGGCCCTGGCTGGGACCTTCCTGAAACTGCAATGCTTGGGTCCACATGGCTTCGGCTTTTGTTTGTTTATTTTTGTTTTTTTACTATGGCTTTGTGATATAATTTGAAATTGTAAAACCTCCATCTTTGGTGTTTTTGTTTTTGTTGTTGTTGTGTTTAGGCTTTTGGTTTTTGGTTTGCTCAGGATAGCTCTGGTTGTTCTGGGTACTTTATGTTTCTACATGAATTTTAGAATTTTTTTTTTTTTTTTAGTTCTTTGA